CAACGGCACAGGCCCTATAGCAAAAAACGCTCAAAAAAAAATTAAATAAAAACAGACCCCATCCAATGGCTCCTGGTCATACCACAGTCCATCCTTTTTTAAAATTTACTGCAAGATGCATGTGCTTGCTGGGGAGAGACAGAAAGAGAGAGAGAGAGAGAGAGAAGGAGGAGGAGGAAGAGGCAACTCCCACGCATGAAAAATGGCCACAGTGAAATCCCTTCTCCTCCATTCCCCCTTTTCAGTATTTTGGGCCTGAATGCAGTTGCCTACACATGTCTCCAAATCAGGCTCAAGCAGTGAGATCTGGTCATTTGGGGTCTACCTGCTCTAAATGCAGTGCCATAGGCTGGCCCACCACAGTTTTTTCTTCAACTCTTCATGTAGTCAGAATCCTGGGCATATGTGCATGCATGCTTCTGCCTTGTTTCTCAAGCCACCAGGGCTGAGATTGAAACTCATCAATCAGGTGACATCTAGCTTTATCTGTGCAGTCCTAAACTTTGAGCTACAGGCCCAGCTTGAAGGTATATACACTTTATTTAAGATATACATCTATTCATAGGAGCCATTAAAATAGGAACTTTAAGAGGGACCAAATGGTTGAAGTATATATACCCTCTTCATAGGAGAGAGAAAAATTGGGGAATGAAGGGACCCGATGCTTACACAATGCTTAGTAAGCTATTTTCATTGGGAGCTGAATGGGGCCAACAAGTTAGGAATGTAAGGATTGAAACTGCGTAGGAACGAAGGTTGTCTCAATGTGCAGACAACATTTCTTCAGAAATATCTGGGAGCTGCCTTCCGAAGAATAGATGAAAAGTCTGTCTGGTTGATGGCTTTTAGTCTCTTCTGGGTAGTTCCTCTTTCCTGGTTATTTGGTGAGTTTCCTAGGAAGACGGTTAAGATGGTTGTACTTCTACTGGAAAGAAGTTTCCTTCCTGAGGTAAGTCCCTTCCAGAGAAGATCCTCCTTGTACTTGGAGTGGGGAGAACAAGACAAGGTTTTAGGGACCTTGATTCTGACGCAGCTCCTAAGAACGTTCATCGTGTCGGTGTGCCAACTTTTAGGGTATTGTTTTCTGAGCCCTAGCACCTCCAAACACTTGTCCCAAGGTCATTATCTGAGATGTCTCAAATAACTTTTTGCTCTCAATCTACAATTTGGTTACCTGCTAAGGTGATTTTAAATAGTTCTTCAATAGTCAGGAAGGGAATGAAAGTGTCTTTATAACAGACTTTGTAGTGGTCATTTTTGTAGATGTTTGAGATGAACTGACTAGAATCTCTGCCCTAGAGCATAGAGCTTAAATCCCTGTGGAGAAAGGGAGAAAGTCAGGTGCGTTATATGTGCAACTCCCTCTGAAGATGCAGATAAATCTCCACATCTTTAGTAAAACACAAAGAATCATCACCAAAGTTAGACTCTATTTCACTTTCATGGTTAAGTACAAGAGAGGAGGAGCTTAAGAATATTTTTTATTTCATTATTCAAAAAGAAACAGAAATTTAGGGCCCCCAAAACATGGGCTCAGAGACAGGTTGACAGAGTTGACAGGGTTGAGCTTCAGGAGTAGGAGGACAAAAGAGACATGAGAAAAGAATGGAGTCAGGATCTGAGCGAGAACAGGTCTTCTTCAAAGTGCACTCCCAGGACATGTAAGTTAACTTTCACTTGAGACATTTTAAATGTCTCTAGACATTTCAAGTCTGCCCTTGCTTATTATTTACCCCACAGTTACCTGCAGTTTGAAGTATTCAGAAAACATGAAAACAACCTATGGACTTGGCCCCACGTTATTAAAATTAAGAAGCATCTAGTGAGTCCACAAAACAGCTATTGATGACTTTGTGGCAGTCCTTTTTGTAGATGTTTGAGATTAACTGATGTAGAATCACTGTCAGAAAGCACTGAGTTTAAATCCTAGTGGAGAAAATGAAAAAGAATGAGCAAACATATAAGCAAATAAGATAAATGAATACAAACAAGTGAGAGTTCATGATGACCTTTACTGGACTTACATAGAGAAAGCACATTGGAGGTTGAAGGTAAGATAGCTTGGCACAGACGTAGGCTTTAAAGCGCTATAGCAAAGGAATAGATTGATATTAATCCTTCTCCTTTCCTCACAGTGACTTATCATCTTACATATGGCAAAACTGTCAAAAGGCTGTCTGAACTACACACGTTTCACTCGACCCTAACCTGCTTCAGTGAAGGGACAAGGGTGACAGGTAAACTTCACGATTAACTAGACTTTCCCTTCTCTCAGAGAGGTCAGGGTTGAGCTCAAAATTGGTGTATTCTAGTGTGCTCGTGTGTTTAGTAACAACATCCTTTCAAATAATATTACTATGAAAAATGAAAAACTAATAATAAAAATTTTATTTTGTTTAAATTTAAAAAATAATTGAAATCAGCTTTGTATCCTTGTTTCCCAAGCAGTCTCAGTGTTGAGAAATTCCGGTTCACAGATTGAATTAGTTTCTTCACTAAACCAGTACTCTGCTTTGACCACTGGTGTTTGAATTGTTTTGCTTTACAAATTCCAAAAGGATTTTGAAAAATTATTATTCTTTTACACAACTTAATTTGAAAGCTAAAGATTTTGAATCATGGTATCAAAGTACAGTCTTTAATTTCTGGAACATTGCAAATACTGAATTTAAAAATAAAAACTTTGAATCTTTTTTTAAAAAGTACCCACTTGGGACCAGCAGTTAGCGTAATGGCTATGTCGCTGGACTCCCGTGTAGTTGACTGTGGTTCCTGTCCCGGACCCGGTGGCTTAAAATTCACACCGGGCACGTGTGCGTGCATGCCCAAGATCCCAAGAGGAGAATGGAGGAGAAGGGACTGTGGCATTGCCATCCCCCTTGGGGGGTGATTTCTCGCTTTCTGTCTCTCTGTCTCTCTCTGTCTGTCTGGAGAGCACACATGCCCTATGGCAAAAACCTCTCCAATAAATAAATAAAGTACCCACTAGTGCTTAAGTACCATTACAAAGTGTCAATACCCATCATCTATTCATAAAAATGAATAAGTATGTTAGTATTTGGTTGTCAGATGTTTCTAATTGCCAGAAGGTACATGCATTGCCAAAGAGGAAAAGGAAGAGAAAGAGAGAGAATTTTCCAATGAAGATTGATCATGCCACAATTCCTTCACCTACATTTGCCCATCCTGTCAGGATTTTAGGCATGCACTTACATGTGCCTGGTGTGTTTTTCCAAGCCACTGGGCCCAGGATTTGAACCATTGTCAGCTATGTGGGACTCAACTCTCTTAACCACTAGGCCATGGGGCTTGCTAAATGTATATTAGATTGTGGAGAAAGTCATGACATAATTTTCTATGTTTTTATATGCAAAAATGCATCATGACTCAACAACCCAATAGATGACTATATATTTAATATTTTATTTACTGGAGACCATTCAAACAATTTCCTTGGGTTGACTTATTGTTACAATGATCAGAACACAACATTTAGAGCATCATATATGTGTTATAAGTTTTGATAAATAATTACTAATAAAATAAAATGCCATTGGGAGTGTATCTCTTAATGAAATGAACTGGGCTTTCTAAAAATTCCAATTAGAGAATCCATGATAGAATAATGTTATTGCTAGAATAAGAGAAATTTCAACATCAATTCTCGATTTTTCAATTTAACAACACAGACTGATAAATCTTGCTCACCTAAATAAGTAAATAGGAATGGAAAGAGCTTTGTTAAAATGTAACCAAATTTTTTGAAATTTTTATTTATCTATATAAGAACATGTAAGACTATATTCCACGCATACATGCAGCCCACACTGCTAAAATGCTGCACTCCTCATGCCAGGACTACATGGGAGGCCTGAATTTAATGCCCAGCCCTATGTAAAGGCTGGATGCTGTGGCATGCACCTGGAGTCCCAGTGACCTGTGAGGCTGAGGCATGAGGATGGGGTGTGACAAGACTATCTAAAAGCAAACAAACATTTGTAGGTCTGTTCATTGGGAATTTGCTAAGGTTAATCTTCAATATTGTTGAAAGTAAAGAATAAGAGCTAGAATAATTTGGAAAAGATTTATTTCTCAGTCAGTAGTCATTTGCTTTCTCAATTTCTGGGGAGTACAGCAAAAATGTTTTAACAAGGCTTATCAAATAATTATTAGTTACACTTGTTATTTTTTTACACTTATGAAATACCTCCATCAGCCTGCTGTTCTCAGAATGAATTGGAAAAATAAACTTTATTAATCTCAGTATACCTTCTTGACAAATGCTTTTATTGATGACAGCTTTTAATACTTTTTGTCACGCTCAGAGCTGGAGCATACCAGTGTGTGGCAGAATGTGTGACATATAACCAAGTTGCCAAGCCAACCTCTACATCAAAACAGTCAGCCAAACTATGTTATGTGTGTATGGTTTTCTATAGGGCATGTGCACTCGCCAAAAAGAGACAAAAAGAGGGAAAGTCAGAAATCACTCCCAGGGAGGAAGGTCATACTGCAATCCTTTCTCCTCCGTTCTCCTCTCAGGATTTTGGGCACCCAAGTACACACACCCAACATAATTTTCAAGCTTCCAAGTCTGAAATTCAAACCACGGTCAGCTCTGCGGGAATCTAGTACCTTAGCCACCTTACCACCTGCTCTCCCCTAGACTTTCTAAATTCAAATAATATGTTAATATACACTTTTATTATAAAAAAGCAATAAGTAATAATAAAAAGAGTATATAATTAAGTTATATTTCTAAAAGCAGAAGACATTACAATGATAGAGATTAGGCTTACCTATTTTATTCATTTGATACCATTATAAAAGGAAGAATTGGACTCAGCTCTGGTGGTACGTGCTGCTAAGATGGTGCTACTCTCAGCTGAGGCCTGGGCTCCATTTCCAGCCCACCCAGACAGGATGATGTGGTGGTACACGCCCGTAGTTCCTTTTACTGGGAGGCGGGGGTAAGAGAAACATGACATGGTGAGACCAAGTCAAAGATATCTTTCTCTCTAAAAACTCTAAAAACAAACAAAAAACAAATACCTATGAAATAAAAGAAAGTATTAATGTATTGATTGTTTTTTATCACTTAACATGCAATGATATAAGAAAGTAAAATAAAAAATAAAAGAGAACTACATAGAATAATATTGATGAATCTTATCCATGTAAAATGAAAAAATAAACTGAAGGAGATCACATATAATATAATAATGTTTTTAAATGTCAAAACCTGGGGCCCGAAGGTGGTATGATGGTTAAGGGGACGGGACTCCCACATGGCTGACTGCGGTGCAAGTTCCAGACCTGGCGGCTTGCTGTCTCAGTTTCTCTCTCTTTCTCTCTCTCTCCCCCACCCTGGTCAAACTAAAATAAATAGAAGAAAGAAAGGAAGAAAGGAAGAAAGAAAGAAAGAAAGAGAGAGAGAGAAAGAAAGAAAAATACTAGGAAAAAATGTCAAAACTCAAAAAATCTAAACAATTTATGAATTAGTGATATAGGTGTAAATATGTATACTACATATGTAATATGTATGCATGTATATTATATATGTAATCCAAATGTACCAGGGGATGACTGGCTATCGATTTAATATTAGGAGAGTGGCTACCCGGTATTTTCAAGGGGAAAGAAGAGAGAACTGATCATTGCTTAAGACTCTTAGGTGCTTAATACTGTGTGCCAATTACTAACAGATAGCATTTATCAAGCAATTATTCTCTGTTAAGCACCTTTTAAAATAGTTGACACATATTGGACAGCTAAATCCCTCTGTGAGATTGGCACTACCATCTCCAGTTAAAGATGAAATGACTGAGGCTCAGGGAAGTTGTACAACTTGCTCAAAGACATACATAATAAATGGTGGAGATATTAACTCTAACGTGGCATAATTCTAATTCTCATAACCAACCTCTGCAATTGCTATTTCTGTTTTTAAAACTAAGGCCCTGTGAGTTGTCCAAGATAATTGAGTAGAACTGTGTTTTCTAATTCGTCTGTGTTAGTCATTTAAAACTCTGAAAGAACTCGATGTTTGATGCGGAAGTGACATGAAACAACAGCAATAACAACAACAAAATAGCAGTCTTTGGCAAAAGAAAAAAAATCTAGAGAAATGTGCAGGTAAACTTTAGTAAATGTTGAAGACTTCATGTCAAAGAGTGTTTATTGAGTCAATTTTATGGCCCCGAATTATCTAATTAGTAAATACTTGAATTAAGAAACCATCTGTAGAAAACAACCTGAGGTCCTTGGAATTTTGTATGTACAAAGCACACCTCTTTAATCTTCCTGGTTCATCTTACCCTCACCCCTCTCTTTCCTATAACACAGAAAAGGTCTGGGGATGTTGCCCAAGTACTTGGATGTCATTTGGTTCCAGCTGCTACCTCGTTATTAATGAAGAGAATTTTTGGAAGAAGAGTGAGCAGAAATGTGTTGAGATGGGGGCACATTTGGTGGTGGTCAACACAGAAGCAGAGCAGGTCATTTTTTAAAATTTATTTATTTACAAAAAAAATTTCTTAATTATGGAAATAACATACAACAGAATTTACCATCTTAACTACTTTTAAAAATTGTGTCTGTGTGTTTGTGTTTTCTGTGTTTGTATCTGTGGTTCTTTGTTTATTTCTTTGTTTTTTCAGACAGGGTCTTGCTCTGTTGCACTCTCCTGCCTCAGCCTCCCAAGTAGCTGGTTCTACACCACACCCGGCATTTTTGAGTGAGCTGGGACTCAAACCTCCATGTGGTCTCAACCTGCTGAGCAGCAATGTCTACCCTGGGCTGCTACGGCTGAGCATATTTTAACCATTTGAAAGTATAATTTAGTAGTGTTTGCTATAGTCACATTTTCGGGCAATAGATTCTCTAGCACCTTTCTTTCTTACAAAACTGGAACTCCCTACCCATTGAGCGATGACTCATTTTCCTGTCCCCTGAAGATAATTCTACTTTCTGTTTCTATGAGTTTGACTACTTTAGCTACCATAGGCAGTATTTGTCCTTTTGTGACTGGTTTATTTCATTTAGCATAATGCCGACAAGCTTCATTAGCATGAGACATTTTCTTCCTTTTTAAGACTGAATAATATGCCATTATAGGTGTATTCACGTTTTCTTTTCTTTTGTTATTTTATTTATTTTTTCCCGCTTTAGTGAGGTGCAACTGACAGATACAAATGATATATTTAAAATTGACAGCATGATGACTTGTGTCTATATCGTGAAATGATTACCACAAAGAAGTTAACACAAGTGTTACCTCATATGATTTCCCTTCTTTTTCTTCTTCTCCTCAACCTCCTCCTCCTTCTTTCTTTTTCTTTCTTTCTTTCCCAAGGTGGCAGTTTGAATAGGTGATATTTTACTGTAGCTTTGAATTGTGTTCCTTTTATGATTAGTAATATTGAGCATTTTTTAATATATATAGTAGTTGGTCATCTGGATATCTTCATAATAAAAGTTTATTCAAGCCCTTTATTCACTTTTTCATTGTGTTATTTTGTTGTTGGAAGCTAATTCTACACCACACCCGGCATTTTTGTGTGAGCTGGGAATCAAACCTTAACCTCCATGTGGTCTCAATCTGCTGAGCTGGGAATCAAACCTTAACCTCCATGTGGTCTCAATCTTCTGAGCTCTTTCTATATTCTCTATATTAACCCCTTTTCAGATCTATGACATACAAATATTCTCTCTCATTCCATGGGCTGCTTATACTAGTTGATTGCTTCCTTTCCTGTGCAGAAGCTTTATCGTTTGATGTAGTATCATTCTATTTTTGCTATTTTTTGTCTGTGGTTTTGGTGTTATCTCTAAAAATACATTGCCACTTCCAATTTTATAAAGCTCTTCATTTTCTTTTAGGAATTTTATAATTTCAGGTATTACACTTAGTTCTTTGAAATAGTTTTAGTTAATTTATGTATATGTGTAAGTTAAGGATCCGACTTCATTCTCTTGCATATCTCTATCCAATATTCCCAGCATCATTTGTTGACAAGATTGCTCTTTCCTCACTATGGAGTTGTGGCACCTTGTTGTGGAGCATTTGATCGTGTATGTGAGGGTTTATTTGGGGACTCAATTTGGTTACTCTATTGGTCTATATGGTCTGTTTTAATGCCAGTGCCATGCTATTTTGATTATTGTAGCTTTGGAATAAGTCTTGAAATCAAGATGTTTGACCTCTAACTTTGTTCTTCTTTTTCAAGGTTATTTTGGCTATTTGGTGTCTCTTTAGATTTTATGTAAATTTTATATATTTTTTTCTATTTCTAAAAAAATGGCATGGGATGTTGACAAAGATTATTTTGACTCTTTAGATTCCTTTGGATGGTATGAACATTTGAACTATTTTTTTTTTTTTGAGAGGTTTTTGCTATAGGGTGCGTGCGCTCGCCAGACAGAGAGAGACAGAGAGACAGAAAGCGAGAAATCACCCCCCAGGGGGGATGGCCACACCGCAATCCCTTCTCCTCCATTCTCCTCTTGGGATCTTGGGCACGCCCCCACCCGCGCCCGGCGTGAGTTTTAAGCCACCGGGTCCAGGACACGAACCACGGTCGACTACGTGGGAGTCCAGCAACACAGCCATTACGCTAACTGCTGGTCCCAACATTTGAACTATTTTGAGTTTGCCAAGCCATAAATGTAGGATGTCTTTCCATTCAATTGTCTTCTTTGATTTTCTTCATTACTATTTTATGGTTTTTAGAGTATAGCTCCTTCACTTCACTTCCTAGTTTAAGTTTATTCCCACAGATTTTATTCTTTTTTAATGCAGTCATAAATGGGGCTATTTAAAATTTTCCTTTTCAGATTGTTTATTGTTAGCATATAGAAATGTTGCTTTTTTTTTTTAACATTTTTGCCATAGGGTGCGCGTGCTGACTTGAGAGAGACAGAGACAGAGAAAATGAGAAATCACCTCTATGGAGATGGCCATGCTACAACCCCTTGTCCTCTATTTTCCTTCAGGATTTTGGGCACAAATGCATTGGGCGTGATTTTCGAACTAACAGATCTGGGGCTCTAACCATGGTCTGCTATGTAGGAATCTAGCACCACCTGCTGGTCCCAAAATTCTACTTATTTTTAAATTCTGATTTTATATCTTGCAAGTCTGCCAAATTTGTTTCCTAGTTATAATTTTCTGAATTTTTATTTTTTTTTACATGTAATATCATGCCATTTTTGAGCAGAAACAATTTTACTTTTCCCTTTCTAATTTAAATAACTTTTGTTTTCTTGCCTGTTTGCTCTGGCTAAAGTTTCCATTACTGTGGAGAAGGAAATAATGAAACTAGAGATCCTTTGCCTTGTTCAAAATCTTAGAAGAAGGGACCAGCAGTTAGCTTAATGGTTATGTCACTGGACTCCCATGTGGTCAACCGCAGTTCAAGTCCTGGACCCAGGGACTTAAATTCACACTGGGCATGTGTGATCCTGAGAGGAGAATAGAGAAGGGATTGTGGCATGGTCTTCCCCCCTGGGGGGTGATTACTTGTTTTCTGTCTCTGTCTTTTTGGCGAGCACACATGCCCTAGAGCAAAAATCTCCAAAAAAAAAAATCTTAAAAGAAAAGCTTTCCTTCTTCTTTTCTCTCTCTCTCTCTCTCTCTCTTTTTTTTTTTTTTTTGCCATTGAATAAGATGTTATCTGTGGGTTTTTCATAAATGACCTTTATTATGTTGAGAAACTTTCCTTCTGTTCCTTGTGTGCTGAGTATTTTTATTATGGAAGGCTACTGAATTTAGACAGTTGTTTTTTTCTCTGTCATTTAAGATAATCATGCAGTTCTTCCTTTATCCTATTAATCTGGTTTATTACACTGATTGACTTTCATATGTTGAATTATCTTTGCATTCGTGGAATAAATCCCATTTGATTACTATGTATAATCCTTTTGATAAACTGTTGAATTTTTTTCTAGTATTTTGCTGAGGAGTTTTGTATCAATATTCACTGTATTGGTACGCAGTTTTCTTCTCTTGTAGTACTTTTTTTTTTGGAGAGGTTTTTGCTTTAGGGTGTGTGCACTTGCCAGAATGACAGAGAGACAGAAAGCGAGAAATCTCTCCCTAGGCGGGATGGCCACGCTGCAATATCTTCTTCTCCATTCTCCTCTCGGAATCTTGGGTACATATACACATGCACCCGGCGTGAGTTTAAGCCACCGGATCTGGGACTCTAACTGCGGTGGACTACATGGGAGTCCAGTGACATAGCCATTACACCGATAGTTGGTCCCTGCAGTACTTTTGATATCAGAAAAATGATGGTCTCATAAAACAAGTTTGGAAATGCTCCCTCCTCTTTAATTTTTTTAATAGGGTTTCAGGAAGATAGGTGTTAATTCTTCTTTAAATGTATTACTGAATTCACCAGTGAAACCTTCTTCTTTATTGTGTGGGTCTTCATTATTGATTTAATTTCTTTACTAGATATGAGCTGTTTATATTTGTATTTCTGCCTCATATGGTTTGTAGGAAGTATATTTTAAGATTTCTTCATTTCTTCTAGGTTATTTAATTTGTTGGCATATAATTATTCATAATAATATAATCTCTTTTAATTCTGTGACATTAATTGTTATGTCCCCTATTTCACATTTTAGTCATTTCAATCCTTTCCACTTTTTCTTAGTTAATCTAGGTAAGTGTTTTTAATGTTGTGGTGCTATTCTCCCTTCACTTCTGCCAATGTTTGATTTTCATATATAGGAGCTCTAATATTGGGTACATATATATTTATAGTTGCTATACCTTCCTGTTTGGTCTCTAATGACACTTTTTGACTTAAATGTTATATTGCCTGATATCAATATGGCTACTCATGCTCTTTCTTGGGTAATGTTTGTCTGGAATTTTTTTTTTCTATCCTTTTACTTTTAGCAGATGTGAGCTTTAGATATAAAATGAGTCTTTTGTGCAGCGTATACTTGGATCTCGTTGGTTGTTGTTGTTGTTAAGCTAATATGTCTTTCTGTTAAGTATTATGTTCAATCCATTATGTTTAAAGTAGTTATTGATAAAGAGGGACTTTCTATCTTCATTTTATCATTTATTATTATGTTTTGTTCATTGTTTTCTGTATATATTGCAAGTCTTTTCTTTCTCTTTTTCTTTCTTGCTGCTTTCCTTTATGTTTTACCCATTTTCTTTAGTGATGTTTTTATACTTAGTCCATTTGTGTGTGTGTGTGTGTGTGTGCTGCTAACAGGAATACCTAAAATTAGGTGAATTTAAGAGAATAGAGGCTTGTTTTGACTCATGATTCTGGTGGCCGGACAGTCCAAAGATGTAAGACTGACCTACATGGCAGAGGACAGGCTTGAGAGAGTGGCAGTCCATCGTTTCTGTTTTATTCTCTCTACTAATAGACCCACCAGAACTCGGTCGTAGGGACACTGCCCTGATGACATTATCAGAGTCCCAAAAGCCCAACTCTGGGATATCATGAAGGAATTTTCACTAAACACCTCTACAATATAATCAAGTCCCAAGATAGACTTCTTTGGGACATCTAAATTAAAAACATGAACCTTTGGGAGAAAAGCAATTATCCAAACCGTGAAGGTTTTTTCTCACTGCCTTTTGTGTACCTCTTGCAGGTATTTCCCTGTGGCTATAATGGAGATTTCATAAAGCATATTAAAGTTATGAAAATTTAAGATGATTTTGATAACAACTTGAATTGCATGCAAAAACTCTATTCTTTAATATTCTCTTACCGTTTGTGTTACTGATGCCACAAATCACATCTACTTATGTTGTGCATTCATTGTCATAGCTTTTATAGTTATTCTCATGTTTTATAAAATATTTATATTTTAATATTTATATAGTTTTTCCTTTTAAATTCTGTATCAGAATTAAAATTGATTTGTATACTAAGATTACAATGTTACAAGTGTTACATTTGTCTATATATTTACTTTTTAAATTTTATTATTATTATTATTTTTAATTTGCCATAGAGCTTGTGTGCTCACCAGAGAGAGAGGGAAAAATGAGAAAGCAAGCCACCAGGTCCAGAACTTGAACCACAGTCAGCCATGTGGGAGTTTAACACCCCAGCCACCATGCCACCTGCTGGCCCCTATATATTTACCAGGGAGCTTTCCTACACTTTTACAATTCTGTCCACAATCCTTTTATTTCCACTTGAGGCATTTTTTAGCACGTTTAGGGCTGGTCTAGTGGTGATAAACTCTCTCCGTGTTGGCTTATCTTGGAAATTATTCATTTTACTTTTGAATGACAATTGTTTTTTGAGATACAGTATCTTAATTGGCAGAATTGTTTTTCTTTCAGTACTTTGAATGTATCATCATATTTTTCTAGCCTAAAAGGTTTCTACTGAGAAATGCTACTGATAATTATGAGAACTATCTTGTACACAATAAGCAAGTTTCTCTTTTGCTTTTAAGATTCTCTCTTCATGACTTTCGACATCATGATTAAATATGCCATTGCTTGGGTCTCTTTATACTTCTCCTGGTTAGAGTTGATCTTTTTGAATTTGTATGTCTATTTCCTTTCTCAAATATGGGACGTTGTAGGGCCATTGTTTCCTCGAATAGGCTTTCCTCTCCGTTTTCTATGTAGTCTCTTTCTACAACTCCCATAATAAATACACTGGTCCACTGGATGATGTTCGTAAAGTTCTTTTGGCTCCTTCTATCTTTTTGTATTTTTTCTTTTTGTTCCTCTGACACGATAATTTCATATGTACATCTTCAAATTTCCTGCTTGTTTCTTCTGCTTGTCTCAGTCTTTTGTTTTACCCCTCTCATGGATTTTTAATTTAGTTGTATTCTTCAGCTCTGAAGTTTCTGGTTTTTGTAGTTCTCTCTGTGCATTATTTTTCACATTGTGTTTAGTTGTATATTTGTGTTTCCTTTTAGCTCATTGAGCATCTTACCTTTGCAATTCAAAAATCTTTTTCAAGTTATTCACACATCCCTTCAATTTTTTTTTTTTTTTTTTTTAGAATCTCTTTCTTGAGATTTGTTTCTTTGATTTAACCTTGTTATCCTATTTCTTTATATGCCTTGAAACCTTTTGCTGAGATTGGGCATTTTATAAAACAGCTACTAGGGACCAGCAGATGGCGTGGTGGTAAAGGTGCTGGACTCCCAGATGGCAGACTGCAGTTCAAATCCTAGACCTGGCAGCTTGCTTTCTCAGTTTTCTTCTCTCTCTATCTCTATCTCTGATGAGTGCATGTGCCCTATAGCAAATTTAAAAGTAATAATAATAAATAAAATTAAATAAATAATAAATCTGAAAATTCCCAGCTACCTTTTTAATTGTTAAATGAATGAATGGCTTCATACAAGGAAATATCTTCACTAATTAGCCTGACTGTAGAAAATTCCCAGCTACCTTTTTAATTGTTAAATGAATGAATGGCTTCATACAAGGAAATATCTTCACTAATTAGCCTGGCTATAGATTCTAGGGGTCTTTCAAATCTTTTCTGGTGATGCATATTCTCTGGACTTGTGAATGTGATTTCCAGATAACTTTCTGGTTTCCTCTTCAAAAACTTAGTATAGTCTTTTGTTCTCCCTGGTATCTGTCTGTGGTGTTACCGTCTTTCTAGAAGCTTCAGTGCTTGCCTTTGTTCTTGGCTGCCACCAAGCATCTGAAATATGTTATCTTTCCTGCCAGCACTCTAAATCAGATAAGACAGAAATATATATATATATAAAATATATGTATATACATATTATATATATATATATATGCACACACACATATGTATGTGCATATGCATTTTTGTGAGAACTTGGATTACATAATTATAGAGGCTGAGAAGTCTCACAATTTGCCACCCGCAAGTGAGAGACTCAGGAAAGGCAACGGTGGTGTAGTCCAAGTTCAGAGTCCAAGTTGGTGTAATGGCTATATTGCTGGACTCCCATGTAGTCAACCGTGGTTCGAGTCCCGAACCCAGTGGCTTAAACTCATGCTGGGCACATGTGCATGTGTGCCCAAGATCTTGAGAAGAGAATGGAGGAGAAGGGATTGTGGCATGGCCTTCCCCCTGGGGGGTGATTTCTCACTTTCTGTCTCTCTGTCTCTCTCAGTCTTTCTGGTGCGCACACGTGCCCTATAGCAAAAACCTCTAGAATAACAACAACAACAAAAAAACTAAGAACCATGGGAGCCAGTGATGTAAATCCTAGTCCACAGTTAGTCGACTGATGTCTCAGCTCTAGCAAGCAGCAGGAAGCAAACCAAGGTGAAGTCCCCTTTTCTCCAACTTTAGTCCTTTTCAAATCTTCAGCAGTTTGAATTGATTTCTCACCCAAACTGGGGAAGGCAATCTACTTTACAAGCCTATCAGAAAGTCTATCCAGAGACACTCTTTTAGACATACCCAGAAATAATGTTTCATCTGAGTACTTCTTGACGCAGTCATGTTTACACATGTAAGTAAGCTTTACAACATCTGTGATAATTAAAAGCACAAAAATGAATTTATGCACATTTAGAATCAATTTTGTCTCTTGGTAAAGAAAATACACCTCTACCTGAGAATGGAATCCATGGGGAGGACCCTTTCTTCTATTCGGTGCTATCAGTGTTTTGGGCCTGCTCTTTTTCTCAGTGCCCTCATGTGACAGTTCCTTGCACCTTCCGTTTTCTCTGGAGTAGCTCTAATAGCATGGAGAACCCTTACTTTTAGAATCTGGAGATTCTAAAGAATGACTCCTTCTTTTCTTCATGCAGAATTTCATTGTCCAGCACCTGAATAAGTCACTTTCTTATTTCCTGGGGCTCTCAGATCCACAAGGCGATAACAACTGGCAATGGGTTGATCAGACACCTTTCAAGAATAATGGCAGGTGAGTACAGACCTAGAGTAATGAACCACAACACGTTTTTCACACAGAAAGTTGTGGAAAATATGGGACCAGTAGATGGCGTAATGGTTACATTGCTGGACTCCTATGTAGTTGACTGTGGTTCGAGTCTCGGACGCAGCGGCTTAAAACTCATGCCAAGCACGTGTTCATGCATGCCCAACAGCCCTGGAGGAGAAGGGAGGGGAAGGGATTGCAGGGTGGCCATTCCTCCTGGGGATGATTTCTCGTCTTCTGTTTCTCTGTCTCTCTGGCGAGCACACACACACTATAGCAAAAATCTCTCCAAAAATAATGTGAAAAATTTTGTTAGCAGTGGTTCTTAATATTAACATACATGATTATAATGACAATAAGAGATATAACAGTTATTGGGACCAGCAGTTAGCATAATGGCTATGTCTCTGGACTCGCATGTAGTCGACCGCAGTTCGTGTCCCGGACTCGATGGCTTAAAACTCACACTGGGCGCATGTGCATGCATGCCCAAGATCCCGAGAGGAGAATGGAGGAGAAGGGATTGCAGCGTGGCCATCCCACCTGGGGGGTGATTTCTCCCTTTCTGTCTCTCTGTCTCTCTCTGTATGTCTGGCGAGTGTATGTGCCCTTTAGCAAAAACCTCTCCAAAAAAAAGAAAAAAAAGAGAGAGATAACAGTTATTAAGTCCTTATGAAATGCATGCATCATCTCAATTAAACATCATTGAAACTTCTTTTTTAAAACTAATTTTATAGAAAAAAGGGGAATAACTTGTCAAAATCAACAAACCAATAAGATAAGAAACTGGATCTTACCTTCATATATATCTGACTCCAGGATGGTTCTCTTATCATCCCTACACCAGGGGGGATGGCCATGCTGCAATACCTTCTCCATTCTCTTCTCAGGATTTTGGGTGCACATGCACATGCACCTGGGGTGAATTTAAGTCACCGGATCCCACGGTCGACTACGTGGGACTCCAGCAATGTAACCATTCTGCCATCTGCTGTTCCCAATCTTATGAGTTCTTAGGGACCTTATTATGATTCCCATTTTTATAGATGGGTAATCTAATACCTGGGGAAATTAAATTATTTACTCAATAACAATATTAGTGAGTAGCAAAGGCAGGTCTTTTAATTCCCAAAATTATATGTGATACCCCATGCCTTACCACAGATTGCATCTGTTGCAGCTCCAGAAGAAGAGAGAAGCTTAGAAAGGTGATAAGAATATGTGATGCCAGGAGGCAGCTTTTCTATTACGTGCTATCAAGAAAGGAATTGTTTGATAACCTGTGTGAGGTTAAAGTGATAGAAGTAAAGATTCAATAGCAGGGGAAAGGTTCAAGAGTTCCAAGAGTGTTTGTTTTAAACCGGCAGTGGACTCTTAGAGGAGCAGGTGAAAAACTGAGTCCCCCGCTAGAGGATTTTGAGGAGGCCAGTATAAGAAGCAGCAGTCATTGTCATGGTCTCTCATCCTGAACCCCGTTTTGTCAACCCCAAACCTGTATACTTTCTAATTAATTGCTGTTCATTCACTGAAGAAGTGTTTCTGCCCTTTTTTCCCCCTAGGTTCTGGCACCACAATGAGCCCAATTTTTCTGCAGAGCAATGTGCTTCAATAGTTTTCTGGACACCTAAAGGATGGGGCTGGAATGATGTTTTCTGTGATACTAATAGAAACTCAATATGTGAGATGAAGAAGATTTACCTATAAGTGGAATTTTAGTCACAGAACTTTTGAAATTGTAACCCTTCATGAAATGATACTTTTTGTCTTGTAATTTACCGTTAATCCTTGGGACATAAAGGTTCGTGAAAATATTCAGATGCCTTTATCTTTATAATCATTCTTCTTCTGGTTTCTTCTTTTCCCCTAATGATAACATGAGCTCTTCTTCCCTTTGTTCTGTTTATGTCATTTGTTATCCGATTTTTTCTTTCCTTTCTTCTTACTTCCCTCCACAATCATGTCTTCTTCCAGAAACTATTATTTTTGTCTGTTAGAAGATTTATAAGGTAGTATCTTTTTTAAAATTATGACCTTCTATTTTCAAAATATCCTAAAGAAAGTCTTTTGGTCAAGATGGTGGCTGGAACAACAATTATCTGAAGGCCTCACAAGAGCCGAAGTACCTACTTTCTAGATCACTCACTCAACTGGCTGGCACTTTGGTAATGAATACTGCTAGGAGAACTCAGTTTCTCATCACATAGAAATCCCCAAATGGCTACTTGAGTGTCCTCACATTGTGGTGGGCAGCTTCCACTAGAGTCAGTAATATAAGCGAACAAGTATAAGTAGTAATGCCTTGTATGATCTAGCCTCAGAAGTTGCGCTGCTCAACTTCCATTGCCACACACTGGTTACATAGACCAAACCTGACATAATCAAGAAGGAGATTGTCCAAAGGCATGAATACGAGAAGGTGAGAATTATTGGGGGCCATCTTGCAGGCTGCCTATTACAAGGTTCCTTTAAAAGCATACTAAATTGTGTACAAAGAAGAAAAAGCATTCTTCTACGCTAAAATTATATACTAATGTTCGTAAAAATACTATAAGGAAAAGAGAACTAGAGGAAAATATTTTAAACACTTTTAACTAATAGTATTAATATCAAGAATATATAAACAATAGTCACAAATCCATAATGACAAAACAATGGGCAAAATATTTGAACAAGCCCCTCATATATGAGAAAACACATACTCTGTGCTGCTTTGTTCATAATTTAAGAACTGCAAGCTGAGACCATAATAACACATCATTTTATACGCATTTTAATGGAAAAAATTTAGAAACATAATATCGAGTTGCAGGAGATATGGATTAATAGGATCCCTTATACATTGCTGTTTTGAGTTTAACTTGGTACAATTCCTTTGGAAAGTGCATAAATGTATATTTTTGATATAAATATCACCCAACATGTGCTGTATGGAGAGATATCTAAGCTTTGTTACGTGTGGGTGCTAAAATGAGGAGATGTTCTGTGGGGAAACTTTAACCAGAGAGACTTCCTGCTTAATATGCTTTTATAATATAGGCACATATATGGCAAAGTGAAACAGCAGGTCTGATACTCACAAATCTCAATGTAATAGTTACATCTTGATGGTAGGCCAAGGGGTAGGATTTGGAGGAGTATATAGGCATATGATAAAAAAAAATTTAGTTTTTTTTGTCTTAGGCAGCGATATTAATATAATAAATATAAAACAAAATTAAAATGAAATAAAATGAGAATCAAAAGGATAGCATATGATGAATATAAAATTTTGATTAACATGTTTTTTATGTATCAAAAGTCCCTAAATGAAAAATAATCCACTGGAGACTCTGTTAGTCAAGAACACCCCTTCCTCCCAGTTACGTCTTGACTAATACTTTTGACTTCAAGACCACATAAAAGTTTCTGTGACCCTGGAGATCCAGACACTGCTGCCTTCATGCCACTGTCACCATAAATGTCTCTCTACCCACATGAGGTTGGCGGCTGGATTCTAGAATTCTCAGTCTAGCCACAACTGAGGCATCTGGAAATTCTCAACTTTTGATCTTTGTTATCAGCAAAACCAGGAAAGTAGATTTGATTTGATTTTTACTTTCCACATTTCATGCTGTTGAATATAACTGGCAGTGCCAAATTTTCATCAATTATATAGCTGGAAGAGAGTCTGGGAAAGGTAGTTTATAGCTTTTCAGGTTCTGAAGTACTGGTAGGCACAGGAGAGTTGAGAATGAAGGATGAGTGCTGGTTGACTAGATCCAGCATGATTGTGAGAGAACATTCTTTAAAAACTTGCTGTGTTTGATAGTGGTGGTGAAGGTCCTAGATCCCACAAAGCCAGTTCTGTGGTTTAAGTCTTGATCCGGCAGCTTGAAAAAAACATGTCGGGTACATGGACACTGCCCAAATCCCGAGAGGAGAATGGAAAAGGAGAATGAAAAAGGGATTGTGGAGTGGCTATCCCCTCGGGGGTTAATTTCTCACTTTCCTTCTCTATCTGTCTCTCTCCAGGGAGCTCATACTCCCTATGGCAAAAATCTTTATTAAAAAAAAAAAAACTATGTTTGCTCAAACATCTCTATCCAAAAATGAGATGGCCCATAGTTTTGTTTTTGGTGCTTTCTTCTTTAATTTCTGAATATTTTTGTTAAATTTGCCTATAATGTAGATATGTGTTTCTTAGAAATTTAAATTTGCCTCCATAGTTTCGTTTTTGGTGCTATCCTAGTTTGGAATCAGTTATACAAGCTTTATAGAATGAATCAGAATGCTTTCTTCTTTAATTTCTGAATATTTTTGTTAAATTTGCCTATAATGTAGATATGTGTTTCTTAGAAATTTAAATTTGCCTCACAAATTTTCTGCACTTGCTTCTTCTTTTCTTTTTTTGAGAGGTTTTTGCTACAGGGTGTGTGCGCTCACAAGAGAGAGAGAGAGACAGAGAGACAGAAGGCAAGAAATCACCCCCCAGGGAGGATGGTCACGCCACAATCCCTTCTCCTCCATTCTCCTCTCTGGATCTTGGGCACGCATGCACATGCGCTCGGCATGTATTTAAGTCATGGGAGTCTGGGACTCAAACCGCGATATCGACTACATGGGAGTCCAGTGACATAGCCATTACGCCAACTGCTGGTCCCTGCACTTGCTTCTTAAGACTACAATTTTTACTACATTTTTCTAAATCTTACTTAATTTTAGTATTTTTTTATTTTGTGGAAAACCATTGTTTCATATGATTTGTTTAAAATTACACATAGTGTATGTATATAATTTTATGCTACCGTCATAAGTGCAGAATGTGTATTATTTTTATTTTTAATAGATTATTTTAAATTTATTACTAATAGATGTTTTAAAACATCTACTAGGAATAAATAAAGTAGAAATTTGTCAAAGTTTTATTAAATGTTCTTTCAAAAATTGAATTCACTTTCTGAACAAAGATCTATATTTTTTGTTTCATTAATGGCCACTTTTGTTATTAATTAATTGTTTCTCTTTTGGGTTTATTTTCATCTTGATTTTGTAACTTTTTAAATTAAAAATATATTTAAAAATTCACTGACTTTTTAAGACATTTACATTTACTAATGAAATATTAAAGGCTATAGATTTACATTGGGCATCTTTTTGGTTAAACCTAACGTGTTTTAAAATGTGATCATTATTTTTTATTTCTATAAAAGTAATCACAGGGTGATTTTCTTTTTAATCTAACAGGTATATAATAAAATATTTTAAAATATTTATGGGAATAGATCATATTTGACTGTTATTTTTTCAATTTCTTACTAAATTTTGTTTAAAGAATGTGACATAAGCATGTATTATATATGTGTATGTAAAAATTTTTCTAAATGCTATAGGGGTATGTACTTGGAGAGAGACGGAGAGAGAGAGAAAGAAAGAGAAAGTGAGAATCAGCACTCAAGGAGGATAGTCATGGCACAATCCCTTCTCCTCTATTTTCCTCTCGGGACTTTGGGAATGCATGGACACACACCCAGTATGCTTTTCAAGCCACGAGGTCTGGAAATTGTACTGCAGAGTCGGCCATGTGGGATACAGCCACCTTAAACACCACACTACTGGCTGGCCCTGCATGCTTTATCACTTTTAGGAGGCTATTATATTTCTTTGTGGCCTTTAAATAGTCCAGACGAATAAAGCTAAATTGTGTTAGGAAATTGGTGAAGATATTTTAGGCTTTTTAAAGGCTTCTTTCTTTCTTTTTATTTTCTTTTCACTTTATTTATTTCTACTATAAGCAAGAGCTACATAGAAAGACAGACAATACCCTCAAGAAGATCGAGATGCTGTAGCCCTTCTGGCTTCAGCCAGCACTGGATCATGGACACACACCAGATATGTTCAAGGAGATCCTGGGCATGAATCCAGAGCCTTCCCACGTGGGTTAGCCCTGCAGAGCATCTTATTTTACTGCTATGTCACCGTCCAGCCCCTAAGACTACTTTGACTCTGAATTAGTACATAATAAGCAATTCAACAGTGCAATAAGGAAGCCTCCTCAGTGGAGAGTATTCGTACAGATAACAAATGGTCACAATCTCACACCTCTTTCCCAAACTTCCTTAGCATCAGTTCCTTAATCTTGTTCCTTCCAAGTCCCTGAACATCCAGCCAAGCTCTCAGGCATTGACCGTGAATTTTTTTTTGTTTTTTTGGAGAGGTTTTCGCTATAGGGTGCGTGGGCTCGCCAGACAGACAGAGAGAGACATAGAGACAGAAAGCGAGAAATCACCCCCAGGGGGGATGGCCACGCCGCAATCCCTTCTCCATTCTCCTCCCGGGATCCTGGGCACGCACGCACGCGCACCCGGCATGAGTTTTAAGTCACCGGGTCCGGGACGCGAACCGCGGTTGACCATGTGGGAGTCCAGTGACATAGCCATTATGCCAACTGCTGGTTCCCTTGACCGTGAATTTATATAGATCCTTACCTCAATCAACCATTGTTCTAGACAAAGTGAGTCGTCTGATCTACAATTTAAAGTTACTCCCATGGGAAGGATTTTCATTTTTCTGAGACCTTCAGGGCTACTTCTGAGTACAGCTATAATCTGCAGTAGTCTGCTTCTAGCCGATGTCATATAATGAGTTAGCAAACTGTAAACTAAGGTTATTTTTTTCCCTTACGAGACAACTAGTCATGAGAAACTCCCAGGAGGTCCTAAGTGGGGACTGAGGGGGAAGTGGCATTGTGGTAGGAATAAGCACAATGGAATTGTGAATCACTGTCTCAGGAAATCATTTTACCTGCAAACCCATTAAAAATGCTCCAGCATTTGCCT